ATGCTGACCTGTGTATGGAAAGGAATGTTGCTGACCTGTGTATGGAAAGGAATGTTGCTGACCTGTGTATGGAAAGGAATGTTGCTGACCTGTGTATGGAAAGGAATGTTGCTGACCTGTTTATGGAAAGGAATGTCCTCCTTTGTATTGTTTACACCTTTAAACCAGAACACTGTTGGTGAAGGGTTTCCACCTAATGCCTGAAAATTAGTCTTTGATTATTTGGAGTTAAATATCGTTAACTAACACCTATTTTTGTTTGCATATATATTTATTTTCAAACTGATAATAACTGAGTCTGACGCTGTACTAATTACGTTTGTGTCATGCCTATACAGCTAGGGTTACGCAAAAAGGCTGATAGTGTAAAGACGACTTGAAAATCTTCAAACATGGCATTCCCAAGGTTAAACTAAGTCCTCTGCCTTGAATGTGAACTTTAAATGGTTTATTAAATGACTTTTAAAATGAAAACCCTTCATGGGGAGAATGCATAGCATTGCATATGTTTGAATATGAAAGAACTTGACATGTTAGGCAAATACCTGGGATAGTATGTACAACAATTGTACCTTATATCGTATTTTATAGTTCAGCTGGACAGTGAGACCACACAAATTTTAAAAGGTTTGTTAGCTTATTTATGTTATAATACTAAACTAATAACTAATGAAACACAGCATTTAAGCAGAGTATAGTGTACACACACAGACACATTCTGCGTAACAGCTTGATTTGTAAGCTACTAGAAATAATTTTCCTTTTATTGTACATAAAACTACTTAAATGTCGTCTTCCTTGTCCACAGTTTAAAGAGTCCCACTGTACTTGTCATGAAAAATATACCTGGCATGTAATATTTATAAGATCCCCCTCCTTGTACACTGTACTGCTGCTGTACCCGTGAATGATGGGTCCTTCAGGAGGGTCTACAAGTAACATATTTATATCATCTTAAAGGGATTGTGGACGGTATCTCAAGTAAACCTTCAGTTTTAGAGAGTCATGTTCGATTTACAACGATACCCTTCAAACCACTAGTTGATAAAAACTGAGAAAGATATGCTTGTTTTTCCAACCTGAAAAGTGAAAAGTTCTCACAATTTCCTTTATTGTCACTAAATCACAGGAATTAAATTGTCAGCTTAAAAACAAGGATCAGTAATCATTGATCAGAAAAAAAATTAAAGGAAATCAATATGAATCAGATTTGAATCTCTATAAATTAAGATTTATGAATTTATGTGTACAGTCCCTTAAACATTAGAAAAGATTTATTAGTTTTTGGCATAGATTAATTAAACAACAGATAGGACACAAGATGTTGTCTTTTAAAGATTTAGGTGTATTTCGTTCACAATAACAGTAAGGCAAAATCACAAAGGAGTTAGGCGTAGTCGGCGTGGAACAGGCTCTCACTCTGATTCTTAATTGTACAAGAGAGAGCTTGTTCTCCGCCGACTCCGCCTAACTCATTTGGGCTTTTACCCCAAGGTTATTGTGAACGAAATACTTCTAAATCTTAAAAAGACGACATCTACTGTCCTATCTGTTATTTTAATTAATCTATGATTTTGGGTCACTTGTCGAACCTTGATTTAAANGGGGGACATTCGCCCCCCTGACAGATTCAGGGAATTTGGAATTTTTGTTCCTATTTTCAGAATAGTATGCTTAAGGGAAAGAAACCCTAGTGCAAAACAGGATAAATATCTGTCTTAATAATTTTGACTCTTTTTGAGTCTTTTAATTAAAAAAATCCTGTATCCGCCCCTGTAGGCTAAAGGAGGGCTACCAAGGGATTTAGCTTTCCAGGGGACCGAGGACCGCAGAATACAGATAGAACTTGAAGGGAGCTTAACATCAAAAAACGTTTGCTCAAGAATTTGTTTTGTCTGCTTACAAATTTTCTTTTTTTACAAACTTTTCTTTCGTGATTTTGCCTAAAATTCTTTTTTTTTATTGCAATGCTTTAACCTTTTAATATCTTAATTTTAAGGAGTTTCTTTTTAAGAATTTGTCTTTTCAGAAGTTTGTCTTTCAATACGGCCGTTTCTTTATATGGGTCTGTCTTTATCATAAATTTCACTTTTCAAGAGTTTGTATTTTCAAGAATTTGGCTTTTCATAAGTGTTTAATAAGTTTTTTTTAATGTTTTAAATTTAGGAGAAGCAATTTTCTGCAGTTTTCATGCATAGTCTAACCNCCTCCCCCTTTATAGGATTTTTAAAATTAAAGCGAATGGGACATGTTAGAAGAGGACTTTAGAATATTTTAACTTGTAAAGTATTTTTGTTTACTTGGAAAGAATTTTTTGAAAAAATACTTTTCCATGATTTTTCATTTCGTTTAAAACAACAAAAAAGTTAAAAAGGGAGGAGGGAAGATATGCTTTTAAATATGGAAAAATTGAAAATGATTTGAATAAAAACAGATATAATAGCAGAGGAAAGATGGGAGTAGAGAGAACAAAACATTAGTATGTATGTATGTAATATAGGTCAATAAAATCAGCTAAGAATGTTCTGATATAGAAAATGAAAATCTTATGATGTTACAACTATTTTCTAAAATACCTTTCGCTTTCACTACATTAAACCCAGTGCAGAGCCTTCATTTTTCATTAAGTTTCTTTTATAATGTTCAAGGTTTTATCTATTTTGAGTTTATTTTATATTTTTACAATATTATTTATGTGATCTACTTGTTTAAACATTTATATTATAAACGTTTTCTTCCCAATAACAACAGAAATGTATTCCCCATAGATTACGTTTTATGGATCAAATAGTGATAAACATTTGAGGGTCAAGTTTCTGGTTTTGTACATTTTCATGAAATAGGTGGCAGATGTTAGGCCTTTCATCTGTCTGCCTAAATTTTAGCACAATTTCAATTTTTTTTTATTTTAAATTCATATATATATATATATAAATAAATA